GAGAGAGAGAGAGAGAGAGAGAGAGAGAGAGAGAGAGAGAGAGAGAGAGAGAGAGAGAGAGAGAGAGATTCCCGAACACGGCGTACCGTCATTTGGGCTGCACCGGACCGGGAAGATAGCTTGTATACAATTGTTGTCAGGGCGGATCATGCAACGCACCCAGATAATGAATGTATACAAGCTATCTTCCCAGTCTGGTACAGTCAAAATGAGGGTGGAGTGTTTTTGGGAAACACCCCCCATGTGGGCACCCTCCCCCCAGCACGCCTACCAAAACAAAAAAGGAAAAAAAGGAAAAAAAGGAAAAAAATCCTCTTTCGGGTGCAAACAGGCGTTGTACGCGTGCGTACACCGCCCACACCCCCGTTGTACGCTATGTACGCTGGCGTACCTCGTGTACCAAGCGTACAATGGTCCGCCCAGCCCAAGATAACCCAAACATGAGTGGATTTTCTCTCAAATAAATAAATAAATAAATAAATAAATAAATAAAGAGAAGTGGCTCCTCTTTGTCCACTGAGAGGTTCTGTGTTCTACATTTGGGATGAGGACTTTCGGTGCGTGTATTAGGATGTTGGGTGTTGGCTGTGTTGTCCTCTTCCATGTAAGTCCCTGTAGACCCATGCTACTACATTTCTGATAACGCTTTCGGCCCAGCTATCGGCCGCGGAAATTCCGTATTTGGTTTAAAGTTTAAACTTTAAATGACCAGTACTTGGCCCAGCTATCCGCGGCGGGAAAAAAAAATAGAGTAGAAACGTTTGTAGTCGGATGAATTTGTGCACTCCTGTAGTGGCACGTACAATTCCTAAAATTGTCGCTTGTTGACAGGCAGAGCTTTAGGAAGTACTGGTGGTAGATGGCTGCTGGTGATACTCCCCACCAATAGATGGAGCCTCTCCCCAGGTGCCAGTGCAGCCTGCTCTTACCAGCACCACTAACACTGGAGGGGGTGTTAAAAAAAAAAAAAAAAAAAAAAAAGATGGCTGCTGATATGGAAATATCTTTTCGCTGAGGAMAAAMAACCTGCTWTTTTGAATCTTGCCAATTTTAGAAAAAAATATAAGTCTTTTTTTTCTGAAAGTCGTCCAATTTTGCTAAATGKKGGGGGGGGGGGGGGGGGGGGAGTCAACTTTCATTAGATGGATGTTAATATTGCAATATCATCTGGGTAATAACAACCAACCCTGCTGACCAGTGGTTAACGGGGTAAACTGTTTTTTTTTTGTTTTTTTTTTTGCAACACCCCCCCCCTGCAGTGCTAGTAAAGTGTTTGATTGCTGAAATCAGGGTTTTTCGGCCGAGTTTGTCACTTTTTTCAAGTTTTTCCAACTTTTTTGTGATTTTTTTTTTTGGCTGTTGGAATTCTGTCTTGTGCCCATTTCTCAATGTTCTGAAGTGTTTTTGTCCATTGGAATTGTCTGTGGTGACCATTTCCGAGGGCGCTGAAAATCCTGAAAATTCGCTGAGTGGCAGTGAATGCAAATTTCCATTAAGTGCACTTTTGCCTCACCGTTTCACCCTTCTGTTTTTTTTTTTTTTTTGTGTGTGTGTGTGTTGGGTGATGCCAGTGGTGGGTTAATATGGTGTTTTCTCTGTGGAATGATGCAATTTTTGGTTAAAAAGGGCCTTCGTTTTTTTTTTCATAAATAGCATTAAAAAGAATGCTGAAATTCTGGGTCTCCATGAGCCACCACTCGCTATTTTGAATCTTGCAAATTTTAGAACCTTGTTGAGCGCACATCACAGTGAAACTGACAGGAATGTTCTCTGACATGACAGTGTCCAGCCCCTCCAGTCACTGTGCCTTGCACGGTGCGAACTCTGCAAAAGTCTACTCTGGGGTTGATCAGCCGAGCAGTATAAATCAGGTGGCTTTATGTGGGCATTGTGGGGGGATGACGAAGCTTGGGAAGGTGGTGGTGCCTAGGGACGTGTGTTTTGTACATGTTAGAAAAGTCTTAAAAGGGGTCGGCCAAGCCGCCTGATGAAGCGCCAGATTTCGGAAGTGTTTCCGGTGGAGATGCGGAAAAGGTCTTAAAAGGGGTCGGCCGAGCCGCCCGATGAAGCGCCCGATTTCGGAATTGTTTCGTTAGGAGATGCAGAAATGCAGATTAATCCCAGTTTTCAGGACCGCTCCATGAATATATATTCTCAGTCAGGCTTGATCAAGCTGTGTTTGTTGATGGGTTGACTCAGTACGGAGCATTCTGTTCAGTTTGAAGAGGGTAGCGACGGGATGTGTAACATCCAATCAAGAGCATAGTTATAGACTCTAATCATTTCAGTGCACAAAAAAATGATTTGAGCACGAAAATACGACCTGTATGGGTGTTAGTCGAATCCAGACCCAGATTCTGCTAGCGACTTTCACACCTTCCATGGAACAGTCGATAGCATAGGCCTGTAAACAGCAGAAAAACACAGCAGGAGAAAGAGAAGGGGAGATGGTCCAAATCTGCGTGAGAGCCAAAGTCCGAGTCAAGCTCGTTATCTAATCCAAATCAGCATAAAAAAACATGCAGCGCGCTCTGGCCTTGGTACGTTGTGTGGAAATACCAGCTGGTAATATGTTGTCAAAAGCTGCGCCAAATGACGGAATACCAAAAAAGGTTCCCTCTTTTATGTTCCTCCGTGCGAGAGAAAGTAACTAACACGCTCTCCTACACGCGGCATTGTGGATGCGATGTGGAATGGAAAACGAAATCCGTCTGCAATCACGACTTATCGAAGAGAAGCTGCAATTTCCCTTACAAGAGGCATGCGATTGAAAAACTCGTTATGTGCAGCAGGCAATAAGCGTGGGCGATCGTGGTCCGAGCACAAACATGTGAAGCACAAGGCCGCGGTCAGATTCACATACGTGGGAGATTCGAAACAAACCCACGCACTATAATGTTGCAATCCGGGCTTTCGGGAAGCTTTTCAATATAACAGAGGAGCTGCTGCGCTTTGGTATGCACGACCCGTCTTGAAGGCATGGTCGCACTAGCATCAAGCACCATGTAACCATTATGTTAATGTTAACATTCAGATGAAAAAGCAAAAGGACCCGCCCTTCTAGCCCATGTGGATGAACACAAGTATATCAACAAGCTATTAGCATGTTATGTTCAACATCGAAATAAAAAGCAACACTGATTCATCGCCGACTATATTTCAAAGCAATGTCTAGACAAAAGCGGGAGCCTGAATGTAAATCAGGGTTATAATGTCTATGAGGGTCCGACTACACCACCAGACCAGACTGAATTAGACCAAACTACAGCAGATGAAAAACGAGCGAGCAGATCAAACACCATCAGATCAGACCAGACAAAACCGAATCGGGTTGCATCAGACCGGGCCAGACTAGTCCCAAATCTGACCCAAACCGAACTTCATCTTACCAAAGCAGACCATACCGGTTTGAACTTGTTAAAAGGGATCAATTGATCGGTGGTCCTTCAAATGCCGAAAGGCCAAACAAAACTCCTTCAACCTATTAGTTAGGACTTCGTTCCATTACAGTCATGCATTGGTCTAGCCATATTAACCTGCTCCAGTGAAAACCTAATAAGGTTGGATACGTGTTATCATGCTTGCTAGAGTACAATGGTATTTTACATCAGGCAAATCTTTGACTCTACCTCCTCGAACCATAACAATAGAGTGTTCTTGTAAAATTATAGCATTTTCCCGAAATGTATGCAATAGCCTCATTTCGATCGGTTAATCTTATTCTATTATTACCTGATGGTAATTCACTATGTCTACTCTTCGTTGCTAATTTCATTATGTACAAGTGGACCTACCGCAGCTACGCTGCGGGGAATGACGATGACAAAATATTTTGCGAAACACCCCTAGCGGAGGCTGCCATCAATTGGATCCCATCTTTGCAATGTACCCCTACCGGACACTGCCCAACGTCAGAAAATGCCCCAGCAATTGCAAAGTTTTTGCAAATATATATATATATATATATATTTCTATGTTGTAGCGGTAGATTCATTCGATTTTGCTGATCCTATCGATG